CACACCAAAAAGACTGCTTGCCCGGTACGCAGAGGGGCGAAGCAAGGGTTCAGCCGCTCGTGCCTTCACAAACGGCCCGCGCTCCCGTTTCCATGCCTCACAGGAGGCACAAACGCGGAGCACTCCCTCGCTATGTGCCCTCGTTGACGGCAGCGGAAGCAGCGCACTCCATCGCGGTCCCTTTCTCGAGACTGAGCAGCTTCGAGCTGCCGGGGTCGGTTTGCCGCGTGATCAAAGGAACCGCTCTGATGACCGTTACCACCGGTGATGCGCTGGGTCGGATTTCGTCCCTGCTCGCGCACATCGAGTTGCGATGCAGCGCTGGCTGCACGCCTCCTGTACGTGTAGGGATCTAAAGCTCGATCACTTATCTCCCACGGGCGCCCACCTGTAGCGGTAGCCGCAAAGGCAGTTCCGGCGGGTTGTTGCCGCTGAGGAAAGGCCATGACCCTTCCCTATGCGCAGCGCGGTTCTACGGCCTCGCTGGCTGGCGGTGGCGGGCGATAGGAAGGCGCGGCGAGAATGTCGCCTTGGATGCGCTTTGCTTCGACGGCCAATTCCTCCAAATCACGGAAGCGACTGCCGCGCAGGTATGCCGAAAAGGTTGGGTGTGCCTGCCTGATCTCCCGTTCGACGCGCTCCTCGTTTGAGGCTCTGGGCTCAGCGATAGAAAAAAGGTCTTCCATCGCGCGTACGTACTCCTGAAGCGACTCATCAGGAACTTGTGTGCAGAGCTCGAGCTCGCGCCATATCCTACTCTCGTAGTCAGCGGGTAAGAATTCGCGCAGGAAGGCCGCGCGGAACTCATCGAGGGTTGCTGCTCGGTGGCCGGAAAGCTGATGCCACCTGGCCGCCGTGTCAGTCAGTGCAGCCGGGGCGACGCGTCCGAGCACTTCCTGGTCGTCTAGACCCATGGCTCTCTGATAACGTGTGAGGGAGTCTAGGCAATCTCCTTCACTTTGCAGTTCACCATACCCACTGTAGGTCGGAACAGCCAACATGACAGCGGGATGACGGCGTTTCGGAACGGCCGAAAGCGTTTGGACTGCCCCCGTGAGTGCGTGAATCATTTGGGCGGCATTTTGCAGCAGCGTCTGTGCGCCCGCTTCAAAGGAAGCTGTCGGTCCATTAGCGGCGTGGGCGAGCGAGGGGGAACTATCTCCGAGCTCAATAAGCGGTGCGGTTTCAAAATGGATACCGGCCGTCGCGACTTTGGGGAGCGCCTGTTTTTCACAGCTGACTCTTGGGGCAGCTTCACGTGCAAATGCTAGGCCGCTTGCGGCGAGCGGTGCAGGGGCGTGCTCGAAATGAGCTTGGCTGCTAGGTTGCGTAGCAGCCAGCGGGCAAAATTCGGCAACGACTGAGGCCGCGGTGCCGATCTGCGCCCCGGAAGCTCCACTGAGAGCCGTTTCGGAGTGCTGTGACATGGAACTGCCATGCATTCCAAAGGGAGCAGTAGTAGTCCAATTTGCCCTTGTGCACTGTTTGGGTTGGGCTATGGCCCCGGACCCAAGACACGCTACCTCTCCAGTGAGAGCTGATACGTAGCGCCTCGTGTCATCCCGACTGGGGCTTGTGACAAGTGAGGGTGCACGATTGTGATGCTCAAGGGGGGCCCTGGCCCTGTTCTAGAGCAATGCGGTACAGTCGAATCCCGGCACAACGAAGTCCGCTTCAACGAAATTTCCGCCACAACGAAGGTTTTTCCATTCCCCGTCGATGTCCCATAGGGTATAATGCTTCGAAATTCCCTCCAATACAAACTACTTCACGGCAGCATTTCCACTTCAACGAAGTTTTTTGCGGGACAGGAACGAGCAAAATTATTCAAATTACAGCTTATTGAAATTCTCAAAAGTGTTTTAATGCCTTGACAAACCATGGACCTTAATAACATTTAAACAAAAACACACACACACAAGATGTTGCTCAGAGCGTGCATACTGGGCGCGACGGTGACTCGCTGCGCAATGTAAACAAAACAAAGCCGCCATACATATTGCGATAGTGATGGCGATGCAATCAATGCAACGCGCTCTCATGTAGATTCAGAAGAAACGTCGGAAACGTTTTGAATCTGTCTGTGTACAAACAACGTGCATTAATTTGATTTTTATAGTATATTTAATCATTTTTATAACGTTTGTGAGAATGGTTTCAATGTCAGGAATTCCCAATTTATGTGTACGTACGTACGTACAAAATTGGAGATGCGAGGCAAATCCCGGTAGAGTGCGACGATGCGTTCGGAAGACGGCTTCCGCTTCCGGCGGCTTGCTAGCTTCTTCACAACGAGCGATCGCACGCTTTGGTCATTGTTTGATTGTTTCCTGAAGGTGCAGTGACGCGATCAACGATGGAGCAGCTGGCGAAAAAGCGCAAGTTTTTGTCGCTCGAAGACAAGGCTCGCATCATCGCACAGGCTGAAGCTGGAAAGAGGAAGGCACTCATCGCTGAAGAGTTCGGGATTGGGGCGAGCTCTCTGTCAACTATATTGAAGAACAAGGACGCGATAGGCAAAGCGCTAGCTTCAGGGACGTCCGCTAAGCATAAGAAGGTGACCCAGCCAGTGCACGAAGCCTTAGACAAGGCTGTTTACACCTGGTTCGTGGAGACGCGGGCCCAGAAAATTGCCCTTAGCGGCGATATTGTACGGCAGAAGGCGCTGGATTTTGCCTGCATGCTCGGCATTGATGATTTCAAGGCCAGCGTAGGTTGGCTAAACAGATTTAAATCCCGCCACAGCATCATCGGCAAAGTGTTGTGTGGTGAAGCCGCTTCGGCGGATAAAGACGGCACCGCCGCGTGGATGTCGGCCAGCCTTGGAAGCATCCTTAAGGACTACGCATCGTCGGACATATACAATGCCGATGAGACCGGTCTATTCTACAAAATGTTACCGAACAAGACCCTGGATTTTAAGGGGCTGCGCTGTCAAGAAGGTAAACACAGCAAGAAAAGGATCACCGTGCTACTGTGCGCCAATATGGACGGATCAGATAAGCGACCGCTTTTGGTCATTGGCAAAAGCGCAAAACCGCGCTGCTTCAAAGGAAATCGGCACCTTCCAGTGAAGTACGTGGCCAACAGCCGGGCGTGGATGACCCGTGCAATTTTTGGAGAGTGGGTCGAGGAATTCGACCGGGACATGGGCAGGCAAGGCCGCAAGGTTTGTCTGCTTTTAGACAATTGTTCCGCACATTCCATTGAGGACACGGAGCTCGAGAACGTGCAGCTCAAGTTTTTGCCACCGAACTGCACGTCCATCATTCAACCCCTCAACCAAGGGGTCATCCAAAGCGTCAAGTGCGCGTACCGCAAGCGCCTTATCCAAAGGCTGATTTTGAACACTCGGTTGGGTCGCGAAACGAAAATCGACTTGTTCATGGCGCTCCAAATGATCGCTGCTTCGTGGTGCGAGACGGGAAGCGCCGTAGTCGCGAACTGCTTTCGCCATGCCGGATTCGCAGTACAGTGCGCCGAGATTTGCGATTCTGCGATTGAAGCTTACGATGGCGACACAGACCGCGATGAGGACAGGTTGCTGGACCAGGACGAAGAAATCGCAGTCGCTTGGGCAGACCTGCAGGAAAGTGATGTGCCCGCCGACGTACATATCAGCGAGTTCTTGCAAGCCAACTCTTGCTTGGTGGTGCGCGAGGAAATGACGGATGGTGTTTCGTCGGACGATGATGACACATTCGCGCAATGTGATCCCGCACTACCACCGACTTCACAGGTGCTGGACGCATTCGATATCATCAGGCGTTGCATCGGGTCGCAGGACGATGATGAAGCAATGGCTCTACTGGCAGCGTGCGAAAGTCGTGTTGTGCCATCGCTTGGAAAGAAGCGGAAACAGGCGAAGTTGAGCGATTTTTGGCATTAAAGCTTGTTCTTTTGCTTCAGCAAGTCCCGTGTCACGTATGTATTTCATCATATCGCGACAACGAATTTCCGCGATAACGAAATTTTGCACCCGCCCCGTCAATTTCGTTGTAGTGGGATTCAACTGTATCTGCTAAAAGCGTCAGCGGACAGAACTCACGCGGAGCAGACATAACGCGGGTAAACGCGGCGAGCCTGATTCGCAAAGGCGGGCTGACTTGGCTAAGACTAATCAAAGGCTTAATGAGCCTTAGATACCGTGTTGGGCGCCAGTATGGTGTCTCGGCGAGGCGAACGAGCGCATCGCCACGCCACACTCTTGGAGTGAACGAACATAGCAGACGCGGTCGGTACAAATGCACACAACATACATACATTTATTAACTAATTTAGACGACGATATCGTCCGCCGAATGATACATCAATTTTAATTAACACGCTACCATACAAACAACATAACGCAGTGACACACTAAACACACAATAATATGATAAACACACACTAACACACCCAACACACTAACACATATCCAAGGCGGCGTTGCCAAACGCCTGACTTTCCACGTGGGACCCCGGCGCGAAGCCCGCGGTGTCAAGCACCGGGGACCCACGCTACAGACAACCGTTCGCAGCAGCCGCCACACGCAGAAGAAGCTCGCTCAACTCTCGCCCACCACCAAGGCCTGCCTTCCGCCAGGGGCCACCACCGGCGCTACCACTCTACAAACGGTGGTACTCAACGCGAACACAACGTCATCTGTCGCCCGGCGGTGGTCACCACCGAAACAAAGCCTTGGGGCGAGACACGTGCGCCACGCGGCGCAGACAACTTTACAGGGGGAGTGTCAGCACCCCCACAAGACTGATGATGATTATTGACAGATGAGGAAGATGAAGTCCAATGAATTCTTACACAGCTTTGAAGTTAACAAAGCAGCCTTCAGAAACATTGGTTTTTAAGAACTTTTCATCTCGCATTAATTTGAAATGCAGTGACTAACTGAATTTTCTTTAGAGAATCAACTCTGAAAATGCAGAAACAAGCTAGAGGTTATGGAATGCAAAAAGAGATTATTTCAAAAGACCAAAATGATTTGTTGCACGGGTGCTTACGGTGGAAGCAAAATGTCATCCTGAGGACTGAGGGCAGGCTCCGAGGGCTCACTGGTCGGAGTTGGTGCACCACTGTTTGTGACACTGGCCGTTGTCTGAGAGAAGACACTGTCCAGAGAGAGCTCCCTGCATGCAGATATAACAAGTATTACTGTGAGGTTAATTCGTGCAAGCACAACCTACCTAGGCATAATATCACAGCATACCACACTTTGAATATACCTTAAAAAGGGCACTGTGATACCCCTGTAGGCTTTTCTCTAATGATGCACTCCAAGATGCATTCAAATGCAACACCCTGTCAGACTTTGCAGCAGTGGCGATATGAGAGCTTTGCAACACAAAAAATGTTTTTGTAGCACCGTCAAATGGTGCTTCCATTTGCAACGCCAAAAGCGCATGCACGAGGAACCATGCGAATTTACTTCGTAAGCTTCGGAGTCAACAAAAGTTCAGTTGTTGCAACTCAGGGGACAAATCGCAATTCATGATTACTCAATTAGAGAAGGAGAGCAGAAAGTTAGGTCTTAAAATCAATATGCAGAAAAATAAAGGAGAACAAAACTTCCAAATAAGTAGCACTGCACTTGAAGTTGTAAAAGAGTATGTCTACTTAGGGCATGTAGTGTGGGGAAGCATAGGCATCCATACTTCCTTTTTCTGGTAGCGCTGTAGCCTGGTTGCAAGGACACATTGGTCTCTTCGAGATAGAGACAATGATGCCTCTTTCGAAGGAACCAGTTTACCCCGCGACCGTCTCCCGCTATTCCCCTTTCCCGGCTCGCGAAACAGGTTACCCTCTCTCGGCGAGGCAAGCAACCCTTGTTGGGGAGACGAAAACAAGGAGCTTGGTCAAAACAAGCGTGCTGACATCGAGACGCTCTCTTTTGCACGGGACACAGCACAGAGAGGACAAGCCCTGGATTACCCTGCGAGCCAAGGTGATCGTTGACAGAAAGCGTAGGCATATACCCTTTGATATCTTAAAACAGACCGTCCCTCTGGGCGACATTTATGCGTTATTGCCAACATAGCAAAAAGGTGTTGTTTTTGTTGACCTGCCTGTTGCCTTATTGGCCCAAACCCATCTTGGCTGTGATGACTCGAGCTACGGGGAGGGGACGTTCATCATGCATAGTACGACTGTGTGCGGATGGAACATTAGCTATGCTTCTGCACCAACCGTGCACAGGACAGACCCCCTCATCGGTGCCCAACATAACGAACTTGGCAATGTGGCAAGTTTTGTGGATGCGAGTGACTACTGATGCTCCGTCAACATAAGCCAACAGGTATGTTGGAATTCCAAGATTTGTTCATGTTGTCTGATGTCATGTTGCAGAATGTCGATCCTTTTGCAAATGCGGGGGCGTTGTTTGGGCTTTCCAACAACGTAAATTTTGGTAGTTTCAAGCGGTATGACCAAGATGTTGCAAAGACCGCGTTAGCAGAGACTAGGCCTTCGACGGAGAGCGCAACGCCTGGCGCCTTGTCACCTCACAACCCGAACAGACAACAACCGCCACAAGTTGCTCCGACACACGCCGCAACTGTGGGCAAGTCTTGGGCCAATAGTTTTCCCTCAAGTGAGATACTCTTGCAGAAGGCGCTGTCAGTAATGCAAAGCCTGGTGAGCACTCTGCAATACACAGTGCAGGCCCTCTGTGCAGAATCTGCAAACGATTGGGCCAGTTGGTGATACATGATGTAAGTGTACTACGTGGTAGAAAACACGGACGGGAAAAAGACAAGGACAAGCGCAGCTTTTTCTACCGCATAGTACACTCAGATCAGAATCTGCGACCACGTGTAAAGATAGACATGCCTACCTACACTGGCTACCACGGTTGCAAAAACGACAACGAGTTTTTCGACCGGTTGCTCCACTATTCGCAGGCGATGAGGCTTTCAGATGCTGAACTTATCAAGTGTGTGGTCCCAGTGTCACTCACTGAGCAAGCGGCTCGATGGTTCAGACAAATCGGACATCGCACCCGCACAGTAGAAGACTTTCTCGACAGCTTTTGCAGCGTATTCCTTCTGGCTAATTATGCGTGGCGCTTGCGGAGGGAGCTCGAGTTACACACCCAGCATCTGGACGAATCCTTGCTGGAGATTGTACGGGGGATGGATTAACTGTATCGTCACGCTAAACCTCTCGTCACCAATGCAGAAAAGATTGAGCGTGTCATGCGGCAAGCGCACTCGACTTTAGCGGTGCACTTCAGGGGATGCAGGTTCGCAGACTCAGAAGAGCTTGCCGCCGCAGCAAAGTGCATACAGGGGGACATCTTAGCAGCTCAAGTGTATCGCCCCCTTTGTCCGCAGCACAGTCAATTGAGCCTTGCTACACATGGAATGGTGGCGCAGAAGGGAGAGAGGCGTTTAGGAGAGATGTGTTAGGATCGTTCATTGATGAGCAAGTACCATGGGTTTGGGGATTATCAGACCATGCTTTCGACCCCCACGCTTGCTCACTTCGTACATGACATTCTATGGAAGGAGTGCTCGGTCAACAAAAGGCGACTTGCAATCGAGCCGGCGGATTTCTGTGTTCCTCGGTACTAGTGTGCTGTGCCAAGGCACTTTTCCCGCCAATGGGGCCGCATGCCGGGTCAGGAACAAACGTGCGGTTTGGGAAACGGACAGCCCGGCTGGTGAACCACCTCGGACACCGTGTGGCAATCATTAGTTCCATCAATGCGTTCCGATAACTTGCATGCTCATTCTGTCGAGCAAGTGATGCCTTAGACTCGCGCGCACTGCTAATGGAGTTAACGACAACTCGAGAAAAGTTTGTTGCACTCTTGATACTGGGGCAGGCACTTCTTTATATGAGGACGAGGTGCTGCACCATCTCGTTTGCTGTGCTCGCGATTCGCGCGGCACAACAAACAGACCAACAGCATAGAATTGCATTTTTTTTTCACCCTGAATGTTTCATGGAGATGCAAAGACATATAAAGATTACGTGAAAGTGCGAATGATTTTTGTTTCATAGGAGGCTGCCAAGCACATTACTGACAACCGCGCAAGCACCGTTAGAATGCTGTATGCCGATCTGAACTATAAAAACATCTGGCATGCAATCAAAAGAAAGCGCTCAAAGAATGATGACTACACTCCTGGTGGCTTGTAGCATCATCACTGCACTGATTTACACCATTAAGTGTTGAATATACATGCTCACTGTGTCACTAAACTTCCCTCGTTTTCTCAAAACAAATGTACACTGCAGCACAATCTTTCAAAAAGAACACTGCGCTTGGACTGGATCATATTATGAACTCCAAGCTTCGAAACTTAGTTAGGGAAACACTAAAGCACCTAACAAATTTCTTCAATGACACGAGTTGGAAGACATGAGGATCTATACCACCTGAATGGAAGGAGGCAGGAATAATTTTAATACCAAAACCAGGAAAACCAAAATCTCTCCAGAACCTCTGAGCGATATAGTTAACCTCTTGCTTGGGGAAACTTGTAGAGAAGGTCATCCATACACGACTTGGAAAGTACTTAGAGGACAACAATCTCCTACTGAATTGCATGTTTGGCTTCCGTTAGGGAATTTCCATGCAGGACGTCTTCCTTCTCTTTCATGAGAAAGTTCTAGACCCACCACCTGGAAGCATGAACAGAATTTTGCTTGCGTTGGACCTGCGGAAAGCTTTTGGCAACATATCTCATGACACTATATTGACTGGCCTACAAGAGATCGGCTGTGGGGAGAGAACCTAAAGCAACGTGCAAAGTTTTCTTGACAACAGAACGGTGTTCATAGAATTGGGCCATCTAAGAGGAAATAATACTCGCATAGCTAATAAGGGCACTCCCTAGGGCTTCATACTGTTTCCCTCTATTATTCAATATAGGGATGTGGAAATTAGCCCTAAATTCGGAGGAAGACAAACAACTTGGAGTATTCATCTACGCCTACACCATCACCCGTTGGGCGACGAATGGCTCCTATGGAGACCGCCAACACATTTCACAAAAAGAAGTCGACACAATTAAGGAATATGGGAAGGCAGGTATTGTACCAGGCGGGCCACCGTAAAATACGATTTTACTCATACCATATCCAGTCCACACTTCCCCAGGGCCAATGGTCTAGCTGAGAAAGGGGTACAGGTCGTAAAGCGCCTCTTGAAGAAAAGTGAGTACGCTGGCGAGGAGTTTTGGGTTTCACTGCTCAATTATCGAATCTCGCCCCTGATAGACGGACGCACACCAAGTCAGCTCCTTATGGGACGGATGCTTCGGGGACGACTTCCAGACTTCTCATCGGCTTCGACATCGTCAGTGCGGAAACATCCACAGGATCACGGCAAAGGCATACCTCTCACACCTCTCTCCGAAGGGGACGTCGTCAGAATAAGAAACGACAAGGGGTGGTTTCCGAAAGCCCGAGTAGAGAAACTTGCTGGCCCTAGATCTTACATAGTCTGTACAGATGAAGGCCGGCGTTATCGAAGGAATCGTCAGCATCTAAAAAGGACGCCCGAACACTTAGACCCACTGGATGACAAGGATGTCGCACCGATAATCCCGTCGCCTATACAGCATAGACAACATTCAACATCAGATACAGCGCCCGATTTGACAACAGCATCCGCATCACGAAAGGAACGACATCCGTCACAACAGGCGCCTGCATCGGATGCTCTACTGAACCAGTCAGCTGCACGTGCACCACCCATTGCAAGTCAACCATCAAGGGACCCCGACGTGGTCCCGTCCCAGCATAAGGTCACTTGCCAGGCACAAGAAGCAGCCGACTCGAGTCCCAGAAGATCAACTAGGCCACGTAGAGCACCGACGCGCTTTGCCGACTACATCACCTAAAGAAAAAGGAGGATGTACCAGGCGGGCCACCGCTTAGTAAATCGGGATGATCCCACCTCACCTGGCCACCTTGAGAGAGGGCGCGCGCGCGGCGCGGCAGCCATCAATAAACAGTCCCTTGCTAGCTAGCGTCTCGTGTGGTTGTGTCTTTGCTGAGCGCGTAAAGCAGAACAGGTATGACATGCATGCCGGAAAAATCTGAGTAATGCATACAAATCAGGTCCAAGAATACCCATCGGACACGCTCCCCAACCTTAGATCTGGAGCTAAATGGTAACCAGATAAAGCAAGTATCAGAGCTCAGGGTGTTGGCAATGCTAATAGAGGAAACAGGTAGCACATCGTTAATATTAAAAAAACTGAAACACACAAACTGGAGCATAGCGAGACTCATAAAGAGGGCCGCTTGCAGTAATGAGAGCATGCACAATATTGAGCAGTAACAATATTGTGGTTTGACTGTACTAGCTAGAACGAGCAGTCGCCGACATCGTAAACTGGACAGAGGGGCACTGCAGCAGCTGATCCCAATGTTCACCTAGAAGCCAAAGCTAGCAACTCTGCAATGGATGTGCCGAATCCACAAGCGTAAGTCTTGCGGTGCTCTACTCATCATCCAAAAGCAGTGCAGCGACTTCAGTATTCAGGAAAGAGAAATGTTGTAAAATGACGTCAGTTTCTATAGAACTGCTTAGCATGCACTGGTGGCGCATGTGCCTTTTGTTGCCTGCCTCCCCCCCCCCTCTTTTTAGTTTCTATTTATACGCGCCCAGTGGGAGGCACGAACAACTACATTTTTTTCACCTGTTAACTGTGTGGTCTTGTACTTGGTACACATATCCCGTGTGTGTTGGAACTATGCAACACTGAGTTTGACGGCAGTGGAACAAGATGGTGCAAGTGCCAAATGAATGCACATATTCTGCGCACACATGCATGCGAGAATAAACAAGGAAGCAGACTGCGTATGATGAGAAGGGTCGGACAAGCTGGATATGCGGCGCGGTGTAGAAAAGGTTGTGTTGTGAACGTGGCTGCCGATCGTCAAGTTAATCATCGAGCCTGACAATGCACAACCAGCAGTGCCAAACGTAAACTGGTTAATGCATGTTTATTCTATTATTTTTACACCAATATTTCTCACTCCAGAAAGCACTGCTTTCAATATCATCAGATCTATTGTCATTAAATTTAGATGTGAGGCAGTCCTGCCAATAAAAACATCTTTCAGGAACATGAAGCTTTACTTAAAAAACCTTATATTTTGTATCTGTGTAATACGGTATTGCTCAAGCACTAACATAGCTTTTTTGATTCGTGAAGAACCCATAAAACGAAAATGTCAAATTTGACTACAGCGACCTGATAATGCTGATTAAATCCAGTCACCAGCAAAAAAGCATGGCACGAATCATCCTACAAAGACAGTATTATTTTGTATGAGAACTTGCAAATTTTCACAATAGCATTTGTCATATAAAATTCGTGGGAGAGTACAAGTGCTCATGCTTCATTTTCCTTAGTGGTAGCACGGCTAGTATTGTGCAAAAACAAACTGTCTCTCATTAGAGACACTGTAGCCTTTTTCGGAGAGCCATTGACCATGTGGCCAGTGCTCGCTGTCTCCCCCTTCACAGCTCCTGACAGGTTACTCTTCCTCGGTGGGAAAAACAACCCTGGCTGGGGAGAGAGAAACAGGAGGAAGAAAATTGTTGAGTGAAAATGGAGACGCACTCTCTCATACCAGCCCGCGAGTACGCACAATGCACCTCTAAGACCACTGTGAGCCATGGCCACAGTGTAAGAATAAGTTAGGTGATTACACTGCGCCCGGCGGCGCATCCAAATTATGTTCGCCGCCTGGGCTGTTTCCACTTGATGCAACAGATGGCGCTCACGAATGGTGGCTTAAGGCACTCACTGGGCAGTGACTCTGACCCGCGTGTAGAAGGTTAATGCACGGCCGCTGGATTGTTTTTTTCTTTGTTTTTTATCCAGCCACCGTGGTTGTTGCTGCGTAGCCTCACTTGTTTATTATGCTCGATATACCCACACACATGGATGTCAATAAATAATACACTGTGACGCTGCTGTAACGAAATTGTTTCCCTAGTTTTATATACAGCTTATTTGCAAACAGTGTTCTCGTCATACAAATGCTCTGACAGCAGCAAGCGTTGACCCGAAGAGCGGTTGCATTTGAACGCGACAGCACCAAAAAGCTCCTTTTGCGAAACTTCTGGATGTTGGCGTCAATATCTTTGGTTCAGAACAAAAAGCAGCATTGTACGAGAAAGAAAATTTGAGTTGTTCGCAATAAGAATACCAGCCTGACAACAAAGGCACGCTAGCCATTAGGAACCCAATAGTCTGCGTGTGTTTGTGCGTGCATGTGAGTGCATGTATGCCTGCATGTGTGTGAGCGCACGCCGCAGATATCACTCTAGCATTCTGTTTGCTTAGCAAAATAGAAGAAAGACTTCGTCAGAAAACTTTAAACTCATGTACCCCTGCCAGTGTTGCTGTTAGCATAACGCAGATGACTCCTTCTCGGTCTCTGGCAGTGCAAGCAGCATGGTATGATGGGAAAAACTTCATTGGGTCCCAAAGGTCAACCATGGGTTAACCCGCACCACACCAATGTAAAGATTGTCGGGCCAGTGCCGTTAGCCATACTTTACGCTATTTTATTAAGCCGCGCAAACGTCAACTTCATGAAGTGCTCATCAGACTGAAAGCGAGTGCACTACCAAAAGCAGTGTATTTTGTGCAGCTCGTCCTTTATGCCGCCGCCGAGGGATGCCAACAATCATATTTCACGTTTTATGAGGCATCTGAGGCTGTCTAAGGGCTTCGCCTTAACAAACGGTGTTGCGTCGTAAGTACAGTGTTCAGAAATTCTTCTGCAATGTTGCAAGACGGTGACGATGAAGTGTTATAGACATCCAAAAATGAGAAAATCTGGCGTGACGACATCAAGCATGGCAAACTAATTATAATCCCGTGAATATAGTGAACTTAAAAAAATATATACGGCTGCACCACAGGAATAGTATGCGCAATGATTTCTGTTCAACATTTAATTTTTCTTGGTCCAAATGGGCATAAATGAGGCAGCCAAAAAAAAATGGCATCCGAATTTGAAACAAGAAATTACTTTTCTGGTGTGGTGAGGAACTGACGGTAGCGCATAAGCACACACTATCAGTGTCGTGCTGAGAAGCGTCTTCCTCCTTACATGGAGGAGGCCCGTCACTGCTGAAGTTCAAGCACTGCCTGAAGTCGAATGCGTGCCTGTTCATTCATCATCATCATGCTGTGAAGTCGCTGTCTCCAACGCGCAATAAGTTTGGCGTACTTTCAGCGGTTTTGTCAGGAACTCAAGATGCAGTAAAGCCAGCCGTTTTTGTAGAGCTAAGGTATTTTGGGCAGCCCCGGTAAAATGACAAGCACAGCATACAAAGTGAGTGCAGGTTTCTTTGGTGGACGCAACAGGTCGTTTCACTTGTATTCTGCATGATGTGGCAGAGAACACTTTTTCCGGGGAATGCTTCGCGCACACATGGTCAGTAGGATGCATGCAAGGTGTTGTCAGCTCTTGGAATAGCCTGTCGCCACTTATCCAAGAGCTCTGATTCACGCGGACTCTCGAAAAGTGACACACACTCTGTACATGCTTCCGATACCGGTACTTGCAATTCGAGACAAAGCACCACTTGCCCATTCCGAGGCGCAACCAGCAACAAGGCCGCTCAGGTGTACTCGGAATCATATATGCAGCATCGAGGTATACGTGCAGTGAATCACGAAGTGCAAATCAGTGAAACAAATACCCTGGCAATGCTCACAGGCACAAGACAAAGGGTTTCTAAATCACAAAATCGCATGCACACAAATCTTTCAGGAAGATGTTCATTTGCCTGCAAATTTAAGGATGAGAGTCGCGCGAATACCTAGGAAGCCATACTGTAGCGCCATCTCAACTCGGGCGATAGGAACAATTCGTAGCTCAAGGTTATTGGCGAACACAATCTCCCTGCACCCTCTCCTTATGCGGAGCGACGAGTGTCAGCCTCTAACTTATTCTTACACCATGGCCACGGCCATTGACCAAAAGAATAAGCCTTACCTTTTGTTCTCTTCATAAAGCGAACTAGTATCTCTTTACGTGACATTCGCAAGTCATTGCTAATGTAGCAATAAAGTGTTTTTGTACCTAGCTTGCTGCCTTATTTGCCGAAACTCGTTATACTTGTGATGACTAAACATTACGCCAGTCGTGCATAGAGCAGATCCCTTCAAGCTCTGTGATCATACAAACAATAGAGAAGTGCAAGTAAGCTTGAGTTACTAGCTGGCGCAACAATTATCAGTTCTGAACTCCAAAAAAAGATAAAAATTGACTTCAGTAATAAGAAACAAGGACACATCAAAAAAGCTCGGACCTCCTGTTGCTTTTTACCAATGCTGTTAAGATGAATTTTGTTTGCTATTGCAGCACTATCTATAGTCACTAGTGTGCTAACATAAACTAAAAAAGCCTGACTTGAACTGTAACGGAGAAGTGATGCATCATGACCAGTAATCATCCTATGCTAACACTGACCAGCAGGTGCACTATGAGCATTGGTACACTAACATTTCTGTGCAGATAAAAACTGGTGATGAGAATACCTGTGAACTAGTGGCATGGTTCGTCTTGGGGTGGCTGGTAAGTCGGACATATCAAAGGACGCAGTTCGTGTGTGTGTGCCATCCTTGGTTGGGGAGACTCCCCTCTCTTGCTGGTGGGCATCGTGACCGACCTCTTCTTCGGGTGTGCCGGCAGGCAACCGGGACACAGTGCCCAAACCAAGCTTGTCCTTGATTGATGCTGCCTGCAGGGAACACACTCTGCATGCTTCAGGCAAATCTGTAACTATGCCATGGCAAGTTCTATACAAACGCTCAGACACACCATCAAAGAAGTATTGACAAAATTTTCAAAGTGCGATAACATGCGGGATAGATCAGCTGTGAAATATAAAAATATATAGCCTCTAACATGCCTTATTTACTCGCATAATCTACCCGCTTTACACCTTGGTTATTGGAAAAAAAAAAATCCGTTTTTATGTATCTGTGCATTTTTTCGGTGTGGCAGCCAGTGCCGTTGACTATCGAAGCAACATTAAATCACGCCATTAAATCAAAAAATAATGGTGCAATAAAAATCAAAACATAGTTTAACAACCATGCAAAACACTTGCGAGTAGTGCAGGTGCAGAAAACACCGATCAAAATTTAATAGCTGTGCCTTTCGCAGCAGAATGGCACCGGTCGAGCGCAAAAGAAACCTTCAGTTTATAGGGCCACGCAAGCATAGCGGTGTGACATCGAAGCAAAAAACAAAGCACAGCAGTGCCCACCATGCCGACAGCACGACGTGCACCTGCAATGTTAGTACTGTAAAAGAAATCAGCGTATAGTAAAAGAAAACACTTCTCACTGACACCGTATCCACTCACTGTCCTTCTGAAAAAGAACGAGCGATGGTGGTGGGGATAGGACCAAAAGCAAGCTTTCACTGCACTCAGGCAGTCCTCAGCCCATGATGAAGTCATGAGCCTTACAGATCTAAATCGACCCTATGTAGTTGAAATGAATGCAATTGAAATTGCCGCTATGCAACTGCAGATTGGCCCTGATTAACTGCAGCCAGTTTGCTTTATTAGCAGGGCTTTCGCGGAGGCGGAATCCCACTATGCTGTCTAGGATTGGGAATCAATCGCAGTGGTGTGGGTAGTGGACAAATTCAGGGCATATTTTGATTTATAGAGTTTGAGATATACTGTGGCTACTCATCCTTGTCATGAATATTTAGCACCACCCAGGCTTCGCCCAGGGTCAAGCGTTTGGTTCTCCGGCTGCAAGGTTTCAATTGCAGAATCAGCATGGAAATACGGGAGGATAGAAACGAGAGTACGAGGATGAAGTCAGACATGTTGGATGTGCGGGGCGGAGAATAAAGGATATGCAGAGTGTGTAGTGAACGTGCGCGTTGTGAAGTATATTGTCGAGTATAATGCTGTCATTCAGTCCTCGAAGATGAACACATCGACAGCTTGCTTGCCATCATTACCGTAGACCGTTCATCCAATCTATCACAGCTGTGGGACCTACATGAAGTACGATTTCGCAACAGCGGCCTGGATAGCCATGGAGTTGAAGCATCAGTGTACATGGTTTTACTTTATCATTTGATCACTCCCCAAAGACATCGCTGTTCTGTACAGGTAATGCATGAAGGAGGTTGAGGGGAATGACGGGGCTACTTGTAGGTCATGGCAAGAAGTGTTTGATGTGATGAAGTTTCTGCAGATACAGATAAAGAGCAGAAAAAAGAGCTCTTCTTCAAGGCACCTATAAAAATTCAGCCCCACGAGACACGAGTGAAGTAATCCTCACTTTCAGGCACTGGTACCTTCAGCATTAGCGCTAGCCGCAGGATCTGTAATGAACATACATGCTCGATGCATGCTATGCGGCCACCCTAACCACATCATAAAGAACTGTCATATTACCATAACAGCCGACAAAATTTCACGGTGACAAATTGATAGGAACTGCTGCTTTAGGTGTGCTAGAAAGGAACATGGTACAGGAAAGTGCTGTAACGCCATGTGGCTTAAGTGCATTGCATTGTGCAACTCATCATTTTATTGCACTTTGCGAAATATGGAAACAGTACAACTGACTGAATGCTGAGAGAAGTGATGCAATAAAAACCGATGGCGTGCCAGTGATCACCAGTACTTTCACAAGAAGCTCTACATCGCCATCACCTGCGGTTCTTCTGTAACAGCCACAGTATGGGCATCGGGAAAGCACAATGCCGTGCTGGTCTGTACACTGCTTGACACTGGCAGTCAAAGAATGTCTATAAGACACGACTTGTCCACAAGACTACATCTACCTTCCATCGGCACAGAAGACCTGTTTCTACTAATACATGACAGTTCCAAATGTCCCCGCACTTACCTACACTGAACCATGCAACTCAAGCTGCAAAGTCATTTAGATGCATATGAAATCACGGTGGATGCTCTGGAGGTGCCAGAAGTCTGCACAGTGAACACTACAGCTATCGGGCAAGGTCTCCTGATGAAGTTGCTCGAGCCCAAGATGCTTACTGCTGGTGAACAGCGGCCAGAAGATCCACCAACCCAAACCAACGGTGTCATCATTGAATTGGACAACTATTATTGGCATAATGGTGACAGAGAGAATCGAATGCCTGAGCAATGCCTAGCTTAAAGGCCTTCATCCAGCTTCGTCCAAACAGCGCAGCACACGCCCTTTCATGACAAACAGTGGTAGCTGGCACCCATTGATGGCAAATTTGATCATTGCTTCCAGCCTTCCTAGACCCATTTCAGGTCACCAAGAAACTTTTCAGCTGCACACTTCATGGATCCAACAGCACTGACGGAAAAAGCTCAGTGAACTTGCCATAATCAATGGTCGACACACTAGCGCCAGTGTACAACTCAGTGATGCCACTGAGGTCTTCTGATTTGGAGCGATTTCTGTAGCAGCAAATATTTCATTTTGAAGCACTTTGGAGCCGCAAAATTTTCTTTCTTGGCGCACTTTGGAGCAGCAAAAGTTTCCATTTTGGAGCAATCCGGAGCAACTAACTTCAAATCCCGAAGGAGAAGCAAGCTGCATTTACATTGAAGAACATGAAAAATTATTCTTAGGCTCTTGTGAAGAGCTTGAAATATATAGATTCATTGCAATTTTCATGGAACCAATCTTCTTAGAAGCACTGCCTATTTCAACTGATTATGCAAAAATAATAGCATCATGCTGTTGAGCATTCTGGAAAAACTTGTTCACAGTGATTATTTCTGTAGCAAATAAACAGATACTGGTTGAATAAAATTGTACTTCATGAAATAACAATATAAATACACCTATGTGGTTATCAACAGATTTGGTAGACAAACACTGTGATGTACAACGCTAGAGACTCACACAGTCCCAACTGCAGAGTCTCTAAGATGAATTCAAGGACAATAAAGGTCCTTTTTCTTGATGACTGATTAGAATGCAGGGCGTAATATGATGTCATTCAGCTTGTCTCAGAAATCACACTTCCTTCAGCACTCATCTATATGTTAAAACTACACAATTTAACAAACTTTTCCTGCTGCAGCAATATCTTATGTGGCTAGGACGTTCTGTCTATACTCCAAAAACCCCCTACCGTGTCCTCTAGAAAGCAGTGCATAAAAAAAATCTCAAAGTGTATTTTATGCCTCACCTGATACAACTCCAAGGCAAGATCCATTTCATTTTTAATGGGATAGCGATTATATGGACATTCTCGACTGGTTTTAGCCGTTGCCAGGGGTGTAGCCAGAAATGAAAAAAAGGGGGGTGGAGTTGGGCAAGCAAAAGATCATTTTGCGCTATATATGATCTAGCAAAAAAAATTTCGGAGGTGAGCAGGGGCACTTTCCTGATGTGCCCTCTGGCTACACCACTCATTTTTTGTGTAATGTCCCAATTGATAACATACCCCAGCGCATTGTGTATTACACGCAGGTAAGAGCGCGCGAATGGGGGCGAAGAACGTGGCTAAAGCAGAGATAAGAAGAGTTGACCTATCTCCTTTGCACTGAGGGCGGATGCAATAACATCACCTCGCGTGCCAGTCCTCTAATCGATTGTTACTCAAGCAGAGAGGAATGCGCCGCCCATGTCCAAGGCACGGGATGGATCAAGCTAGGAACTCGAGAAGGGGGGAGGGGGGCATTGTTAATAGTGTGAGGAACCGGTTTATTCAGCCAGGCTCGAGCTAAATCCCACTGGTGATGATATTTACAGATGATGAAGATGTACGGGTGATGATGATATCTAAAGAGAATGAAGAGTCATTCGCTTGTCGCGCACACACCAATTCCCCCCCCCCCCCCCCCCCCCCGCGGTGAGAGCGGACGCCTGGTCGCTTGACAGTATTATGAAATGCGTTGCGCATAAGGCTTTAAACGAGATACGTGCACTATCTCTGTTTCTCGGCAACATGATCAGGATTAGCGCAAGAGGAGAAATGCCGTAATTGACAGGAGATATTTGTTCGACCACCGTGTACGGCCCAATGAAGCGACTGATTAATTTGTCGCATAAGTCGGGGACGCGTAGTGGAGTCCATAGAAGAACTTCGTCATCAGGGGAAACACTCACAACACGGCGAGACGAGTCGTAGCGAGATTTTCGAGTGTCTTGAGAGAGGCCAGTGTTAACACGGGCCTGGTGACGGCAGTGTGCGAAATGAGATAAAAATTCTTCAGAGAAAGGAGCCGTCAAGATGCAGGGGCCAAAAGGAAAGAGACATCCGGAGCGAAACTCGGCGAGCGACCATGGACGAGAAAAAAATGAAGAAAAGCCGGTAGTGGGTTGAGCAGCCGTATTATAGGCGAATGTTACGAAGGGTAGAATTGCATCCCAGTTCGTTCGGTTGGGGTGAATGTACATGGCGATCATGTCCGATAGGGTCCCATGAAATCATTCAGCCAATCCGTTGGTCTGCGGGTGGTAGCAAGATGTGGACTTGTGAACAGTGTTCGAGGCCCGCAAAACTTGCTCGACAATGAACGAAAGAAAGACTTTGCCACGATCACTCAGGAGAATGCATGGAGCTCCATGACGCAAAGAGATGTGGCGAAAAAGGAAATCGACGACCTCTCAGTGGCAGTCCCAGATGGTATAGAAGCTGATTCTGCGTAGCGGGTAAGGTGGTCAATGGCCGTGACAATCGAGAGATTCCCATTGGATGATATTGGAAGAGGGCCATACAAATCGATTCCAACGACTTCAAAAGGCGAGGCGG